CCTCATGGCGTCAGTACTGGTCCGCTCCGCTTGTCACAAGCTTGCACCTCCTTCGCTACCATGAGGGAATCCTGGCTGCTGCTGTCATCACCCCCACGACCATCCGCTTCGCACCCCCCTCCCAGGATGGCGAGGGGATGTCGCCTTCGAGTCCCTCTGGTTGGATGTCCCCCTCGGCTCCTTCGGCGGGACTGCGCTCGAGCAAATGGGAAGATGGTACAAGGAAAATTCTGAAACATTTGGAAAACCTGTGATTCATAGTACTTCCATGTGTTCTACCATAAAAACGCTGACCGTCACAGTTGTTCCTCAGCTTTTGCTAGTCTCCCTGTGACAACACAAATTCTAATCGCAAGAACGGCGGGTCCTTCCAGGGGGGCCTTGGGCTCCGCGTCCGATCCCCAAGTTGAAGATTTCGGCGTGGAGTCCCCTGGCAGACCTCGGGGTGCGGAACCCTAGGGCCCCGCCCCCGCCGCCGACGACCGCCGCCTTCTTTTGCGGCGGGGCCCGGGAGTTTGCTAACCCCGAAGATCGAAAATGTTGTGTCGGTTCGCCTTAGTAGAGGACGGAACATCTCGAACTCCAGGGGTGGCAGTTTGCGTACCCCGAGGTTCAAATTTTGTGGCCCCGGGGGGGCCCAGGGTGCTGAACCCCGAGACCCCTAAACTTTGGGGCTCGAAGCCCAGGGCGCTGCCGAAAGAAGAAGACAGCGGCCGTCGGCGGAGAGAGCCAGGCACGGGGGTTCCGAATCCCGGAGTTCACGGTTCCACGCTGCGGCCCTGACCTGTGGGGTTCGGAACACTGGGCCCCCGGGGGCCACAAAATTTGAACCTCGGGGTACGCAAACTGCCACCCCCGGAGTGTACTAAAGCGAACTGACACAGAAATTGTCAGATTTTCGGGGTTGGTGAACTGCCAACCCCGAAGGTGCGGCGCCGACGACGACCGCGGCGGTTTTTTGTGGCGGGGCCCTGGGGTTCCGCACTCGGCTTCAGCGTGAAGCCCTGAACTTCGGGACTCGGAACTCCAGGGCCCCGCCTCTGCCGCCTACAACGACCGCTGTCTCCTGTCGCGACGCAGCTTCAGAGCCAAGCCGCAAAAGAACACTGCCCAAGGGCGCTGGAGATAGGGCGAACTGGGATCCAGTTCGCAATTCTTCGTGCCCGTAGGGGTCCAAAAGCGCCGAGGATGGGCATCGCACGGTGCGAAGGATGGTGCTGGCCGGTCTTCGTCGTCGTCGTCGGCGGCGGAGGGTCGGCGTCGTCGTCGCGCCCCCGGTGAAGAGAACGG